ACACACACACACACACACACACACACACACACACACACACACACACAGACAGACATACACACACAGACAAGTCTGGTTTCTATTTAGCATGGGACCTGGACCAGCAAACTGGATTGACCCTAGCATCACCAGAATGAGCCCCTTCTTTGCCAGGCCATCTTGTGACTGGTCACTTTCTCTTTCTCTGGTGATCTTGTTCTATTTTCCCTTATTCTTTCTGTGTTTAATGTGGGAATAGGATGTAGTTAGGACTGGCTATGGTGGCTAGGTCATTTTCTCTCGGCCATTTTGCTGTTTCTTAGGTGCTGCAGTATCGCAGACTTGGCTGTTTTCATCACAAATAAGACAATCTAATGGACACGGTTACCATTTACTGAGAGCTCATTAAGGGTTGGCAATGCGCTAAGAGCTTTCTACTACCCTGATGAGTCTTCAAACAGTCACTTGAAGTAGTTGCCTATTATTCTATCCATTTAGGAAGAAATTACCTGAGATGCTCAGAGAGGTTAAGGAGTTCATAAAGTTATGCAACAAGAAAAGAATGTGTTGGGATCTTTTATTTTTTTAATTCCAAAGCTCTATGCTCACAGACCTTGCACTGTTGATGTACTCAATACAAGAAATTCTCAGAGCCTTTACCCCAGGAAAATGATGTGTTGTGTGCACGGTGAAGTATGCTTCCCCAAACTCCTTGCAATCCTGCCCAAAACTATGGTGAGTGACGCTACCTAAGTCAGAAGAGATGGCAGTAGGTTGGTGTGCAAATGCAAAGTTATCAGCCGAACGGTTGCACCTCACATGCATGGCCATGGCTGAGAGCTGTCCAGTTACTGGGGTCAGCATGGAAGGGCAGGTAAATATCTGCCCTTCCAAAGGGTAGTCACATCGAGTTACTCAATCACTCCGAACACCTCAATCACATGCCTCAGGGTGAGAGAAAGCCCGCGAACCCTGCTGAGGGGCATTGCAACCTACATGGGGAAAACTGCAAAATGGAAGCAGATTCGAAGGGGAATGGGTGAGGGATTACATCATCTTAGGGTTCTGGGGCCTCTTGTACCACTTTAGAAGTGAGGACATTAGGGTCCCAGGTTGCTAGGTGACTCCTACAAGGGTTCACCGAAGGGTATTGGTATGGATCAGAGATCAGCTCTGCTTCTGGAGAGGCCTCCTCTCAGGAGCCAGGCATCCTGCCAACCCCAAAGGAGATTCACATCATCAAACTTCTGTTCTCTCTGCGCAGATACAGCCAGCAGGACCACCAGCACTAAAGGGTGGGCGCCGTCCTCCACGATGCTAAACATCATTCGTGTAGGCCAGCAGACCGACGACCTTGATTCTTTCTTTTCCAAGTGCGAGGTGAGAAGCCGTGGTTGCTAAAATGGCTGTGAGAGGCTGTGACTCAGGAAGCCATGGAAAACCCAACTGTGTGTTATATCCGCCTTGTGTCAGGACAGTAAAACCACAGGATGAGAAATGGTGTCTGCGGTAGGAGAGGCTGAGAGATGAGAACGCTGGACGTAAGACATTCATTGCACCCCTTCCTCACTGTGTGACCTTGAACTACTCGAGGCCGTCCAGCACTAGAGCTACGGTTTACTGGAGGGGTCCCCAAGTCACCATGACATCAGATACAAATGAACACACGGTCCAGTCCCCAGAACTGGGTTTTTGTTGGGAAAACCAAGAATAAACTTTTTTTTTTAAACTTTGCATTTTTTAGACTATGGATTCCTTTTCTCTGAGACTGAGCAGGTCAAGTTCAAGTCTGAAGACCAGGCAAGAAGAAGCCAGAGTTAAAATTAAGAGAAGTTTTCTCTCTCCCTCAAGCTTTTGGAGTTGAATTCATATAGTTAGACATAGGCATGGGGTGACGTCACTAAAAGAAATAATGAAATATTGTGTATTTAGGGATATCTCCATAATTTAAGATCTAAGACCACTCAGACTTCCCGACAGGCTCCTGCAGTACTTCCCAGCTTGCACTGCAGTCTACCAGTGCCCCATGGAGCTTGTTAACATGCACATTCTCATCCAGTAGACTGGGCGGGGCCAGATATTTTTTTTTTAATATTTATGACTAGCTTCCAGATAGTTATAGGTGACCAAGGATCACACTTCAAATGCATGAGCTATGACATGGAAAGGCATGGAAGGGATGGTAAATAGAGGTGCCCCAATGAAAACTCTGGAAATAGAGAATTTCGCCTTTGTTCTCTGAACCCCCATTGATAGAAAGCTGGGATGGTTCTTTCTTGTCTCTTTCCCAAAGTCTTACCGTTCTTGGTCGGGTCATAGGGGGCACAGCCTACTGCAAGTTTCTCCAGCTGGGTGCAGCACCTCCACCGCCCATCCATCCAGAAATTCGGGTGATACTTGGACACCAGGCTGTTGTTATTCCTCGTTTCTGAAAGAAGTTGATACCAACAGACAGCTCATTTCTAGACCAGTTGATTGAGCACTACCAATCTTTTAACTCATTAAGACGGGACCCTGGGGCAGGCGGCTCCTGAGCGCTAACCAAGACAGCCAGGCAACCCCCGTTGTGCTACTATTGGGGAAGTGTGGGTTAAATCTGTCAGTAGCAGATCTAGTTTCTTTTCTGGATCTGCCTCCCCTTGGCTGTGTGCCTCTAGGATGGGGAACTCTCACATAAACCTCAGCTTCCCCAGATTTCCCTGCTATGTCTTCACCTGGATGAGTGTGGTCTACGATGAAGTCTTGAGGGCTTAAGGAGACAGTTGAGAGAGTGTAATTTCCTTCCACCTCTCTCACTTTGAATGACAGCAATTTTGCTATTTTATTTTATTTTTTAAGGAACGGACTCATGGAGCTGAGGATGTCCTTACACTCCAGGTCTACCCCCCATGTTCTGGGATCCCAGGAAGGGCATCACCATGTCAAGTGTGTACGGTGCTGGCGCTAGAATCCCGGGTTTCATCCATGGGAGGTTAGCATACTACCAGCCCAGCTGTTCTGAGGCCCTGTAAATTTGCTTCGATTCCCTCTAGGCTAAGGCTTTGAAGTATATTTCTGAGGAATAAAAGGGGCCCTACTAGTGCACTAACTCATTTGATTCTCATAAGAGCCTTCCAACTGTTCTTGGATGACTTTTATAGCCAAGGAAACAGAGATGCACAAAGGTCCAGGTGAAACACTAACCGCCGTCTCTTCCTGGACTTGCACTACAGAACCCTGTCTCCACATCCCAAGGACTAAAACACTGTGTGGGCTCTAATGATGCTGCCAGGATTGTGAGAATGCAGAAACAGCTAGATGACTGGGCATGGTGGTGCACACCTGTAATTCTAGAAAATTGGAAGTCAAACGAGGTTCCGTGAACCTCTGTCTCAAAAAACAAGCAAACAAACAAACAAGCTAATGCTTCCCGGGCATTGGCCACGATGGCTAGTTCCAAGAGTTTTATACACTGCAGCTCTGCAGAGATTCTATTACCCGCTCCCCTCTCCCGTTTAACAGCCGGGGAAATTGAAGTTAAGAACTTGCCCAAGAGCACAAAGAAGAGCCAGGATGCCAACCCCTGGGATCTAACCAGAGGGGTTCCTACCCTAACCTTTCTTGCTCTTCTAGAGTAAGCAAACATTTTTAAAATGCCAGATTGTAAATATTTTAGGTTTGAATGGCCAACAGGCAAAATGGTCTCATGTGGTTTCTTACATAGTACTTTTAAATGATTTAAAATACAGGAACTGTTTTTATCTTGGAATGGAACAGGTGTGGGCTAGATTTGGCCAGTCCTTAAATTATACTTGTTGCTGATCCTGGGCCCAGATAAAAACTGAAGGCATCGACTCACAACAAATAGGATAAATTGAACACCATTTGCTCACAGATAGCACTGTGTTCCTTCCTGGATCCCAAACCCGGCGCTGGACCGAGGTCCCGGTGACACAGGAGTTTAGTTACCTTCTTTAAGGGTGAGCACCCAGCGCTGCCGGCTCTCACAGTCTGGAGCAAACACATACAGGAGGTAGTTGTCATGCATGATCTAGAAACACACAAGAGTCCAAGATGAACAGGGCATCCAGAAGTGGGGAACCCGCCATGGGCCCAGCTCAGTGTTAAGCATCCATTGAACCTGGGTCACTACGGAGCCAGTGTGTTTTTCATCAGAATGCCTGGGTGCTGTGCCATTAGGGTACTCTCCACAGTGTCGGTGGCTTGTCTCGGCTATCATGTCACCAGTGGGTAACGGCCCAATTTAAGTAACAAGGGAAAGAGAAGTTGGTCTCTTGACTAGATAACATGTTTGTTTCTCATCTTAACGTTTCAGTCTTAGGAAGACCTTCCCGGTGTATGTAAGAGTAAGTTGTTAGATGACAACCATGGACTCAAGCTAGTTTTGAAATTCTTAGGAAGGCTTAAGATCCACAAGTGGCTCCCCAGCACAGACCCTGCGTGTGTTCACTCAGCTCTCCTCACTGATGGCATCCTGGGCAACCCGAGCGCATTTCTAAAGCAGAAAACCATTAATCAAGCTGTGACTCTGAAATGTCATTGCTTTGTCTTCCTCGACAGACTCATTTGTGATCAATACTTGAATTTCTGGGAGTTTGTGTCATTCATTTTTACTTCCAGTTTTGTGACTTCCAACCCAGACTGAATACAGTGGTCATTCTGTAATCAGGCACTTGGGAGCCTGAGGCAGGAGGATTCTAAATTCCAGCCAGGTGATATGGGAAAAAAAGGAGAAAGGAAGGAAGGGAACGAGGGAGGGAGAAAGGGAGGGAGGAAATGAGGGAGAGGAGAGAGGGAGAAAGAGAAAGAGAGAGAGAGAGAGAGAGAGAGAGAGAGAGAGAGAGTTCAACTCACGGGGCTACTTTTCTAGTAGAAAGAAAACTGTTCTTTCTGTGGCTAATTAAAAATGGGCCATCTGGCTGTAGCCGTGCTTGGAGGTAGAACATTTGTCTAGTAAATGCTCGGGACCCTGTGTTCAATCCCCAGCACTGGGAAAAACCAAGCTAGGGCTATCTGCTCTTCAGGCTGACAAACATAAATGTATCTGGGACACAGGAGGGGAAATCTACTCCTTTGGAACTATAAGCACAAAAGGTGGTGAGCAAGATAAGACTAAAGGTATACTGTCCAGCCTAGTGGACCTCTCCACAGTGAGAACTGTCTTTGACCTGGGCTGTCAACACGTGACTCTCTAGTAGCAAGTGGCTCTCAACATTTATCATATGGGCCGGCCATCCATCCATCCATCCATCCATCCTTCTTGTTTTCCTTTCTTCCTCTCTCTCTCTGTCTCTGTCTCTGTCTCTGTCTCTGTCTCTGTCTCTGTCTCTGTCTCTCTCTCTCTCTCTCTCTCTCTCTGTGTGTGTGTGTGTGTGTGTGCGCGTGTGTGAAAGAGAGAGCATAATGGTGTGAATGTGGAGGTCACAGGACAATTCTCAGAGTAGAGTTCTTTCCTCCCACTTTCTGAGGTCAAGAGATTGAACTCACGTCACCAGGTCTGCACATAAGGGCTTCTACCTGCTAAGCCATTTTACCGACTCCTTGAAAGTCATTATTTATTTAGTATTATCTAATTTTGATTGTCATTTTTCTATCTATAAACATTCACAGGTGGCTGCTATTTCGAATAGCATAACCATCTTCATACAGTTTTCAGACTGAGATCTGAAACCGCAGATGAGAAACTGAGGAACTAGGCCCTCTTCAAGGTCAGGGCTGTAGTAAGTGGTAGACCACTGCACAGCATGTATAAAGCCCCAGGTTCAATCCCCAGCCCTGTGGGAAAGCAAGAACCTGTCCAAGAGCCTGTGCCTTTATGGAATGAATGAATGAATGAATGTCACCGGTTGGAAGAATAACACACAGCCCTTCCTGGGGGCTTGGCCTAAGCTCTCAGCACGGGTGAGAACCGTCCTTTCCCCATCTTTTCTCACTAGGGCTGGGGATTCTGTCCCATGGTTCAGGGACAGAAAATTATCCACTGTCATCCTGATGGGCTTACCTGAAAAGGGTATTTATAGTGGCATGGGATACTAATGTCACTCTTGACGATCTCCACACACTTGATTCTGGAAAGTTCGATGGAGCCTTTCAATGTGCGCTTCTTCTGTGAGGAGACATTACATCCGTTTAAGTGAGAGACACTGTTTTCATTTTGATTGTTTCCAGATATTTACTATGAGGAAATCTCCCCTCCCCTTGTAAGCCAGCTGTAGTGTCCCTAATCAAACATCCCGAAGCTGCCCCCTGCCTCAGTCTGAGAGAGACTCTGAGCGGACTCTTGGGAGAAGGGCCTCTGAAGGGTCCTGATGGGGACTGATTTTCTCTTCAGTCACCCATAGCGATACACACCATGGTATTGACACATGGCATTGTGTGTAGGACTCACGGCTGAGATGGGTTGTATACTCAGTGGGAAGAGAGCCACATGAGTGCCATTTCCTGCTCACTCTGTAATATCTATAACCTCATTAGTAACTGTACTCAGGCTTCAGGGTAGTGAGGTATATAAGCTTGTTAGAAGTGTGGTCCGAGTAACTGGTGGTGCTCTGTTCGATAACGATGTCCAATGTTACCTAGACATCACTGTGCTCAGGAAATGGATCCTGAGAGAGGGGTCACCTTGCCCTGTGAGATGTCCTATTAGTGGGATTATCAGGCTCTAAGTGAGGTGAGCTGGAAAGGCTTCGGATGGCAGAGCCTTCCCCAGGTGCCTAGAATGTGGCTGCCACTGTGCTTCAGTTAGCTATGGAATCATCTGTGAAAGACCTCATTAGATGTCATCTTTCTGAAGGCCTAAAACCATCACAAGGGCGGAAGGGCGGGGTGCGAGGCTGGGGTTTGCCTCTCGTTAGTGCCATGAACTCAGGCAGTACATCTAACTTCCAAGAACCCTTTTATTTATAGCTTGTGAGGACAACCCCTGCCTCTTGGGGTTGGTCAGAGAACAAGAAAGGGTGATGAAAATAAAATGTAGCGGGGGCTTTAATAAAGGGAGCCTTCCAAAGGGCTGAAGGAAGGGCCAACTATTGCAAGAGAATTGTGGCATGTGGGTAGTTGTACACCATCCGATTCTCCAGAACAGAAGCCAGTTCTTTTGTTTGATCCTCTGCCTGGAAACCAATCGGCATTTACTAGCTGAGGCACAGAACTGATGAAAATAGTCAGGATGTGTGAAGCAGACACTATTGAATACAGGGAAGCTTTGTGAAGTTTCTTTGCAAACTTTCTTTGCCAAGCTGTTTTATGCAATTTTTTAATTCGAAAACAAATCTATTCCTGGTTATACAAGCAAAACAATATGGAAAATTACATGAGAAGTCAATAGTTACAGGGCTGCATTATCCCACCTTTCTTCATGGTCAGCCAGGATTAAGAGTTTGCTTGTTTACATGTTTATTTTGGAAGACAGAGAGAGAGAGAGAGGCGCCAGAGATGGACATGAGATGTCTTCCTTGATTGTTTTTGATCTTACTTTTATAAGGTAGACTCTCCTACTGAACCTAGAATTCCCAAGTGACCAGATTAAGTAGCCTGTGAGCCCCTCCTGTTGTCATCTCCCCAGTGCTGGGACTATGGGCCCATGCTGCCACCACCAGCTCCTTACACAGGGCTGTCAAAGTACTGGAACTCAGGTTTTCATGGCTATATGCCAAGCAATTTACCGATGCAGCCACCTTCCCAAGGCATTTTTCCCCCTGTACAACTGCAGGGTATATATAAACAAAAATGAGCATCTGATTTACACATTGATCTCACGGCTGCTTTGGTAATCTAGTACTGTTAAGAGGCCTGCCCTCTGGACTCCAACTCCCAGAGCTAAAATGAGGCCCCAATATGGCCCATCGCTGAAGCCCTCAGGCCCTGCCAGTCTGCACCTCAGCAGCAGAAATGCACAGAGTCCTGCCTGTCCCGTCCGCAGTCCCTGGCCATTGGTGAGCTCAAGCTGCTGGGTGCTTGTCGACTTCTTCAGAGTGAGACTGACAGAAGGCTCACACCAATACCAGGACAGCTCGGGCGAAATACTCTTCTATCTTTGAAAACTACCAGGTTCTGTGATGTAGGCTCAGTGCCTAGCACAGTGGCTGACCCGTTATCGTCCTTGGCTAGGGCATCGTCCTGGACCCCGTTTAAGCAATCTCAACCAGATGTAAATCTAATACGTTTGGCTATCATGGAAATCTTTCCTGAAGGCCCACAATGAACAAGGCATTGCTCCGAGTTTAGTAAACATAGTAATGAACTGTAGGAGTTGTGTTGTTTTTTTTTTTTTCCTCTTTTTGCTCTTTGGAAGCCCGCCACCCATCTCCCAAATAAATATGCACACTGAGACGTATAATTACTTCTACATGCCCAGTCTTTGTTTGGTTGTTTCTGGCCAGTTTTTCTTAAATTATCCCATCTACCTTTTGCCCCGGGCTTTTATCTTTCTCTATTCTATATACCTTTCTTTACCTCTTACTCCATGGCTTGCTGTGTAGCTGGGTGGCTGCCCCTGACTTCTTCCTTCTCCTTTTTCTGGCTCCTCTATCTTCTCTTCCCAGATTTCTTCTCCTACTTATTCTCTCTGCCTGCCAGCCCCACCTTTCCTTTCTCCTGCCTAGATATTGACTGTTCAGCTCTTTATTAGACCAATCAGGTGTTTTAGGCAGGGAAAATAGCACAGCTTCATATAGTTAAACAAATGCAACATAAAAGAATGCAACACGTCTTTGCAGGATTAAACAAATGTTCCACAGCACAAATAAATGTAACACATCTTCACCTAATATTCCACAACAATGAACACTGTCCATTCTATCATGGAGGTCATAGGCAGCTCTCACTTATGATGGTTTGTTTCAGCTTTGGACTCTATGTTGATGTAAAAACCAAACTTCATGACCAGGCATAGTGGAGCATGTTGGTAATCACAGTACTATGCAGACTGAAGCAGGAGGATCGAGAGTTCTAGGCCAGTCTGAGTTCAAGACCTTGACTCAAAAATAAATAGTTGATCACTGTGGCAATGCCAGCACTTAAGGAGCAGAAGCAGGAGGATTACTGCAAATCTGAAGTCAGGTTCCAGATACTGTACATAGTGAGTTGTAGGCCAGCCAGGTCTACACAGCAAGCTCCCACCTCAAAAAATTAAATCAATTATCCATCAAAGAAAGAAAAGAAACCTAAACTTCAAAATTTGAGTTTTAATCTTCTTCTAGGCCAGTGATATCTCACATGATAGTATCGACATACTGCTGGGCAGAAGGCCACAGTCCCTGGGTCACAAGATCATGAGAGTGGACCCCAGGCTCTCTGAGGTGAGCTGTACTGCTAAGCTGTGGTGTTTGGTATGCTAGGCGTTCAGCTCACAGTGAGTTTATAAGGATGTAATGCCTTCTTGAGTTTGGGAGGTCAGAAAGGAGAAGCAAGTGCTGAAAAGGCAATGGGATAGGCAGATGTCATCAGGACAGGCCTCTGGAGAGGGGGCATTTGACACAGACCGTGAAGTCCAGCAGGGGATGCCTGTGACCAGGGAGGGAGAGCACTCAGGGAATTGAGTCCCTAGAGCCGTGATTCTCAACCTGGGATTTGGGGTCAAATGATCTTTCACAAAGGTCACTTAAGATCATTGGAAAACACAGATACTCAAATTATGAATCACAAAGAGCAACAAAATTACAGTTATGAAGTAGCAATGAAAATAACTTTATGGTTGGGGGTCACCACAACAAGAGGAAATGCATTAAAGGGTTGCAGCACTAGGAAGGTTGAGAACCACGGCACTTGAGCAAAATGTCCATGCAGAAAAGCTCCAATTAAGCCTCTCCTTGCGGTTATGGTACACAGTGGAGGGAGACATACATAGCTGGAGCCCAAAAAAGGGGCAGAAATCCTATGTGACGTTCTGAAGCCGCAGTATCCAATAAAAATTCAAACAGAATGTGAGCTGGACATGGAATTTAAAGTTTTTCAGTTGGGCATGGTAGTTTATATCTATTATCCCACCACCACCTTGGAGTCGAGGCAGGGGAATTTCCACAAGCTTGGAACCAGCCTTGACTACATAGCCAAGGCTACCATCCTCAAAATAATGTCTTTTCTATAAGTATGTTCAGAAAAGCAATAGCAGCAAATCAAATCAATTTCGATAACTACGCTATTTAACCCCAAGCATCTTAAGTACTATCATTTCAAACTAAGCATAAAAATTGATCAATTCCTCATTAGTACCAACCTTTGAAACCCTCTATTTTTCACACACCTCATCTTGGGCGTGCCACGTGTAAGTGCTCACACAGTTTTCCAGGAGCGTTCTTTCTTTCTGCACAGATGACTCCCAGTATCCATTTGTTCCTTGCCTGTCAGCCTTTCAGTCAGAGAAATCTGAATGGCCACCATTAACCTTACTCTTGGTCCCTAGTAACTGCTTGGGTCCTCACCCCCCATCCATCTCTCCTGTCAGTCTCCCAGAATTTTACAGCATTTGATGCGGGACACAGCAGGCATAGATGCTCCGTCCTCAACTGCTCCATGGGAGTGGCGGGTCAGGAGCTAAACACAGGCCAGTCTCTGGGAAATGATGGTTGTCTGCAATCTTCCCAAACAACTGAGCTATATCTGAAAAACATTAGGGGAAGGCCTGCCAAGAAAACCACACAAAAGCCACCAGAAGAGGGAGAGGCCATGTTAGCTTGTCCTCCCTCTTCCTTGTTATTCTGTTAGCACCACACAAGGTCACAAGATTTTGGGTATCATTGTTTCTCTCGTTGCCATGTTCAGAGCTACACTGTCTCAGGAAATAATGCCAGCAGTCAACAAATGGAACCTTCTGTTGTGAAATTAAGAAGTTTCTGTACTGTCAAGGCCTAGAGTTAACTGAGAGAAGAAACAGTCTGAGAGACCTTTGCCAGCCATACATGTGACAGAAGACTGATATATAAAATATGCCAAGAACTAAAACAAAAAGATCTCAACCACAGGAATGCAAACAACCCAACCAATGCATGGGATCACAAAATGAACAGCCAGTTTCCAGAAGAGAAACTCAAATGCCATTAAGCACGTGGAAAAGAACTCAGCTTTCCTAACTGTCACAGAATTCCAAATAGAAATACCTTGGGATTC